TTCCAAAGAAAAAAGCATCGTTGATATTTACTCGTGCAAGCATTGGTAACAACTAGGTCTCTATCGTAGATGCGTACACGTATGTATGTGTGTGTGTATTTGTATATTTAGTATGTATACCAAGGATTTTTCGATCAAACCGGATCAACGAAGAACTTGAGCAAATCGCACAAGAAAAGTATATCAAATAACTCTCAGGTAGAACTGGAATACTAAAATCGTATCGATTATAAACACCAGTTAAGTAAACGTTTAGAAATTGACATTTGATATTTGAACAACGCGTAGTAAGATTAAAAGTCTTATTTCAAAATAAAAAAAATGTTAACTTTGAACCATCTTTGAAAGCGTATATGTATATTACTTTTTTATTTTCTTATTCACTTTAAAAGGTAATTTTTTTCATAGTTGTAGCGAGTTTTCTCAGTCCGAAATAGTATAAATCAATAATTGGCTGAATTAATATAAGAATATGTAGACGGATCGTACGATGGAAAATTGATTAAATTAATATGAATATTTGAATTCGTAAAAAACGTTATATTAAAATCGAATGGCCATCTTCAATGTAGCGATCTATTCTTCATGTCAACGTTGTGATACGTAATATGCTTGTTTATTCAAGCTAGCACAGTTAAATCAGCTTGCAAATACGGTCGAACAAACGATACGGTTTACGATGCGGCGATAAATTATAGGTAAACTTCCTTTTGTAATATATCGTAATACGGACATTGTATGAGCGCGAGGGCAGGAAAAGGTGAGTTATATATAATGATTATGGTCATTCATAAAGTGATCGCGGCCATAATTTGTTGGGCGGTTTATCACAATGAATTTCCGTTATCAAAAGCGAACTCGCACTAATTCAAACGAAATCACTTCTGCCGTCCGTAATTTCTTCCGATCGAATTTCTATCGGTAGCAATTTTTATTTATTGATTTGCATTATCGAGCTACGACGACGATGATTTGTGCACACAAATTTTTCTCACAGGTATTTGCAGGCATATATTTTTATATATTCGCAGAAATCGTAATGTTTTATGGCCCCTTTCAGTTTTACCAATAAAAGCATGTAACACGATTCTTGTGTAATGGATTGAAAATATTTTTTCTATCATTATTTTGCAGCAATGTTTAATTGATCCTATTACACAATATATAAATTTGATAGATTTTAAAGTTAATTTATAACCTTGTCTTAATATTATATTTTTATTTATTTTCAATCAGCTAACTATCATATATATATACATCAATTAAATTGAATATATTTAATATTAATATTATTTGATATATATATATTCAATTTCCTAAGATTTCAATTTCTAATTTCAACATTAATACGTAATATAATGAATTCTCTTATATATACGCATGCATGTGCAAGAATATGTATACGTAAATAATAATTTTCATTTCGATAAAACTGTCGATGTCACACATTACATTGTGTAACATCCCTTAGAAAATTTATGCACATTTGCACAGATTTATGCGAGTAAATTATGTCGGTTTGTACGTACGTACCTGGTACGTGCATGTGCATTCGGAATTCAAACATGTATACACGGATGTACGCTTACTCGTCGAATAGAATTCCAATCATACCACTATATTACATTTTTTACTAAAAACATAGAGATTCTATCTATTATCTAGGAAATATAAAATACATATAGATCATATATCTATTTATGTGTACATGTATATGTGTAAACATTCACCTGTGAATTGATGAATAGATAACAAATTATTTTCTCTTACTAAATCAATGTGTTCAGCATTTTGATTTACGTTCACTCTTAAGATTCCAGTTTCATTGTTTCTGTTTTCTCTTTTAGTTTCATATATTTTCGATTTTCTTTCGAACACTTTTTATTTTTATTAAATTTGTGTATCTAATTGTAAGTTTGAATATTCTTCAAAATGAAACTTTTATAGAGAAAGGATAAAAGAAGTAGGATGTATACTTGACGATAATACCCTAAGGGCCAAATTACGTATCGATTAATTAAATCCGTCGAAAAATCGTGCCGTGAAAATGCTCTTGGCCCTAGGCTCCAATTTAAGTTGTTTCAACATCTGTACTCTTTCTGTACTGTTTAAAATTAACTCTATTACGAACAGTTCGGACTTGCCGAAAGATAAACTTGCTAAGAACGAAGAATAATGACGGAAGCAATTTTAGAAACTTTTTGAGATTCGAATTTTCTTTTAATTGCGGAAATTCGAACGGATTCAATGAAGACGATTTGGTCTTATCGATTATCGATTGGCTAAGACCATTATTTTTTATCATCATTATAACATTTTTCTTTTCTTATTATTCTATTGACACATTTGTTAGGAAACTATTATCGAAAACTAAAAAAAAAAGAGGATCTCTCATTGTTTTGGAAGTTCCATTGAAATCTCTTTACGAATGAATACGTTTCAAGATTCTGTTGTTAAATACAGAATTAGGCGTTCAAAGCAATAAAAATTAAAAAAAGAAAAATCAGAAGATTGAACAGACAAACGGACAGAGCATGTAAGTATTCATCATCTAACACGCAGGTGCATCAAATCGATGGCTAAACTCAAAATAGCTTAGGATCGTGCGCTCGATAACGCACTACTCGTTGCGATCGGCAATAACGAAAGTAATTGAAAATCGATTTTCCAGCGATCTATATCGATCGTTCTCGCGATCCATCGTAGAACGAGCCACGTATGCGAGTCGAGCTTGTTACCGTCGGCTTTGATTACGTGCCGTACGTGATTCTATTAATCGAATAGTCCGCTAATCGAGTAGGAAAGACGCGTTTGTAATCGTGTACTGTAGTGATGGCAACTGCAATAGTAGTTGTAGTAATAGTAGTAGTAGTAGTGATGGTGGTGTTGGCAGGTATAGTAGTATTAGTAAAATAGTAATAGCTATAAATATAGTAGTAGTGAGAGATAGTAGTAACGGAAACGATACTACGAATTTTCATCGAGTTTCTATCTGCGTTCAGATTTTTCAAACGCAATATTCTATTTATGTTAGATTTTTCTCGTAGTATCGAGATACGGGAATACGTTTGTCAAATTTGTCGACACTATTTCGGATTCATCCTTTGTACTATATCCATAGAAAACTATATCCCTATCCGTAACTCGAATCTTTTTTATTTCTCAACCCTCTCCACCCCTCAACTCTCTCTTTTCTCTCTCTCTTTCTCTCATTTCTCTATTTTTGTTCTATTCGTTGGGGAGTACATAACGGAGGTGAAACCACGAGTTTGCATTGCAGATTGGTAACTACATTCCGATTTTACGCGGACGATTTTTCCCATAGTTCGAACTCCCAAACTTACACATATGCATACACATACACTCACTCTCTCTTTTTCTCTTTCTCTCTATCTGTCTATCCAACTATTCATTCATCTCGGTCCGTATACACGATATCCCCCTTTCTCTTAACTCTACGACAACACAATCTGGCCGACGTCTATTCCTCCCTCCCTCTTTCTCTTCTCCCTCTCCTCCTCTCCCTTCCCCTATTTTTTCCTGTTCGACTGATGTACCTTTTTTTCGCGAGTTGTACGCTAACTCTCGCGTGTCCCGAAAAATGCCAAAAAAAAAATAGTCGAGGGATGTATTTTTTTTTGTCGTTGTTCGGCTATACACATTCCTGAAATAGATCGAGTAATAGGGGTTAGAGAATGAGAAAGGAAACGAAGGGTAAATGGACGAAAGGGTTAGATGGATTGCAGAGAAACTGCTAGGAAGCGAGATCAGAAGGAGAGAATGATGGAAATCCTACGTGTATTTTTTTGGCTCGTGTGTGAGCGCGCATGTGTCCATGTATTATGGAAGGGGGTTGAAATTGGTTCGGAGAAGCGAACGAATAAAGAGAGGGAAAAAGGGGGAAGGGGGAGAAAGAGAGAGGGATGGATATATAACCGTTAAAAATGCCAACGGCACCTTGGTGACGTATACATCGACCCTCTATTGACCGTCCGAAGGAGGGCGAATCGAAACGAGCGCGGGACTCTGGACTCGTTGTTCACCTCCTGGACACTACGGCCGGCACCTTTGCGCGGTATTTTATTTGCCATGAAAACTGGAACTTGTGTGTGCGCCTGTTGGCGCCCTGGTGGTTTTCACTCTCGCCAGGAAATGCAAACGATGAGAAGATAATGAAGCTTTACTTTCATCTAACTTTACCATAGCGCTCGTTTTTGTTCTTCTTATTTATTTTATATACAGCCCGTTTCCTTTTTTTTATTCGTTTTTTTCCCTTTATATCGTATAGTTTTACTTTATCTTCGTTCAAACGCAATTATCTCTTTAACCAAATTTATTTTACGTAGATCGCGATATATATAAGTATTCATTTCATATATGTATATATATATGTAAAATTTATTGAATTTAAATAAAAGAAGTATTTATTATAATATAGCAAATACTTAAATACTAAGGTTCAATATAGAAATCGAAAACAAAAAGTAAGTAATAATAGTTAGAAATCGCAATCACACTCGTATAACACTTACTCACTCACAGCTAGTCACACCGAATCAAGAAGGCGAAGACTGCCCTTGTCGAAACGACACTATTCACAGAACACTTCCACAAACACACTGCAACTCATGCCTTACGTTGCGTGCTACGCAACATACCACCCCCCGTTGAACGGATCCCGTTCAACACTTGTTCACTCAGGTTTTATCAGTCTCGGTTTCATTGAGCAATGGAGACAGTCTTGTAATGCCACGCTTGAGATGGCCATTGGCAGTTTTCACTGTAACTAAGCGCGTTATTCCGTTAGAGTCCGTATGCAACTCTGTCACTCGCCCTAACGGCTACTTAAGAGGAGGAGTATTATCCTCCCTTAAAATAACGAGTGTTCCTATACGTATGTTATCCGTTGTACCCTTATGCCACTTCTTACGCACTGTTTGTTATTGCAAATATTCCTTATTCCATCGATTTCAAAAATGTTGTCCCATTTGCTGTACATATTACCATTGTGATAATCGGCCACATGGTATGTCCCTGTAATCGTGATCTGGCAAGCTTATTAGTGAGTCACCTATCAGGAAGTGCCCAGGTGTAAGAGCACGCAGATCATTTGGATCATTGGATAGGGGTGTGAGAGGACGAGAGTTAAGGATGGCCTCTATCTCCAAAACATAAGTTAAAAGTGCTTCATAAGTGAGTAGTGTTTCACCAATTATCCGAACTAAATGATGTTTAAAGGACTTTACCGCAGCTTCCCAGAGACCTCCGAAATGAGGTGATCGAGGAGGAATGAAGTGCCACTTGATACCGTCGTTCGTCAATTGTCGAGCGGCGAACGTCTGTATTTCATTTGCCGCGCCCACGAAAGTTGTTGCATTATCCGAATATATGTCTGAGCCTTTCCCCCTACGAGCTATGAATCTTCTTAAGCAAGCTAAGAATGATTCGGTCGTCAAGTCGCTTACTAATTCTAAATGTACTGCCTTTGTGGTGAAGCAAACGAATACCGCCACGTACACTTTGATACGTCCACGATTCCGATGTTGTTTTTCCTTTATGAATATGGGTCCGCAAAAATCAACTCGGGTATGAAGAAACGGCCGATTTAACTGTAAACGATTTGTTGTTAGTTCACTCATTTTATATTTGGGAATAATCGGCTTCCATAATAGACACATGGTGCATCTGCTTATTATGCCTTTCACTTCAGCGCGTCCGTTAATAGGCCAAAAGTTTTCGCTAACGGCGTTAAGCGTGGCTTGTGCACCGCCATGATAGATTTTCTCATGTTTTTCACGTATTATGATTGCGGTGACGAAATGTGCCTTCGGTAATAACGCTGCGTGTTTTTGTTCATATGGCAAATCACTTCTACCTAGTCTCCCGCCAACTCTTAAGATCCTCCTTTCGTCAACGAATGGATTAAGATTTGTTATTGACGAACGAATATTCTTTCCTGCCACGATTTGTTCAATGAGTTCGGAAAAAGTTTCTCTCTTAACGGCCTTGATTACAGTTATTTCTGAATTTTTCAGCCACGGTCTTTTTTACCTCGGGCGTTTCTATACTTTCTATTACCTGATGTGGCCAACGTAATTCGCGTTGGAGAAGCCATGAAGGTCCCGCCCTCCAGAGGTCGTTCTTAATAAATTCAGTTATTGTTATGCCGCGAGATATAAAGTCTGCCGGGTTATAATCCGATGCCACATGCCGCCACTGCTCAGGAGCGATACTTTCTAAAATTTCTATCACCTGATGCGCTACAAATGTTTTCAAGATATGTGGTGGTGTTTTGAGCCAGTGTAGTACTATTGTCGAGTCCGAACAGAACACCGCGCGACGAAACCTGACTCTTCGCAGTGCATGTTTGGTGGCCCCGTATAAGCGTGCTAATAAAACTGCGCCACACAATTCTAAGCGCGGAAGCGATTGCGTCTTGAGCAGAGCTACCCTAGATTTCGCACACACTAGCTGAATGGTCGATCTTCTGCCCGTCGTTTTTATATAGATACATGCCCCGTACGCCCTTTCGCTTGCGTCACAAAAACCATGAATTTCCATTTCTACACCGCAGTTTAACACCTTGCGTGGAAAACTAACTTCTTTTATTCTATGCAAATTGTGTCGAAATGATTGCCACGCTCTGCCTATGTCTTCTGGCACAGCTTCGTCCCATGAGGATCTTAGCTGCCACAATTTTTGTATCAGTATTTTTGCGTTGATTATGACCGGCTCTAATAAACCTAATGGATCGAAGATTCGTGCAATTTCTGACAATATATTTCTCTTAGTGACCTTGGATGGATTATCGTTGCGTTTTACCGCATAGTTTATAGTATCTTGCATGGCATTCCAATGTACTCCTAATGTTTTAATTGTGGTCGATATGTCTAGACTGATGAGCTTGTTATCATTTTTATCAGCGAGGCCTCTTTGATATTGGGCCATTGGAGGCCCATTGTCTCAGTTGCATACCGGCCTTGCCTGTTAGTGTGATAAGCTCGTTGCGGATTTACCTAGCGTCGTTTAAAGTATGCGCCCCCGTTAGTAGATCATCCACATAAAAATCCTCCTCAAGAATAGTGGATGCCCTCGGGTATTGCCCTGATTCGTCGTTTGCTAGTTGATATAAAGTGCGCGTTGCTAGGAATGGTGCGGCTGCTGTTCCGTATGTTACCGTTTTGAGCCTATACGTTTTTACCGGTTCGCTCGGGGTTTGACGCCAAAGAATGTTTTGATAAATACGATCTCGAGGATCCATAATTATTTAACGGTACATTTTTGCTATATCAACCGTGAGCGTGATAGCGTGTGATCGAAATCTCAATAAGATGGAGAATAGATCCTCCTGAATGTTGGGACCGACCATTAATGTGTCGTTTAACAATAAACCGCTGCTGGATTTCACGGATGCATCGAAAACTACTCTAAGTTTGGTGGTAACACTTGATTGTTTTGTTACGGCGTGGTGTGGCAAATAGTAGTCGTCTGTACGATATGGTGAATCGACCCTTTCCATGTGACCTAATCTTTCATACTCAGAAATGAACTCTGCATATTCCTTACGCGTATCCGGCTTTCGCGCCAATGATCGTTCCAGCGCATGGAATCTCTTCAACGCTTTGATGTACGAACTTCCTAATTGGTTTGCATTATCCTTGAATGGCAATCTCACTATGTATCTACCTGATTGATTCCGATGTGTATTGTTTTTGTAATGGTTTTCGCAAGCTTCTTCTTCGAGGGACCTGGGTTTTCCCTTTAGTGTTTGCTCAATGAGCCAAAATTTTTCTAACTGAGCAGTGTGGCATTTGACAATTTGTGGATTCCCCGTATTTACATTCGTTATCACGATCCACCCTAGTCGCGTATTTTGCAAGGCTATTGATTCATTTATTTGAAGAATGTGACCAGCGCGCCATAAGGTACAGAAGGTCGGCATGCCAATAATTGTGTCTATCATTGCTGGTTGACCGAAACCGGGATCAGCTAATCGGATATTTGAAAGTATAATTCTGAGTCCCTACCAATAATTGATTGAAACTTCTCGGAGAAACTCGGCCAATCCTCGTACCGTCCATCGAAACGCAGTAAAGTCATTGGTGGTAAATGTACTATCCGAAAGGATCGTACGGTGATTAGCGGTATTCGAAACTCGCGCGCATCCGCTTCCATCGATTAGGATTCTAGATCGATACTTACTGTGAGCATNTTTTATTTTACACCCTAACCTAACCCTTTATTCTCCACTTCATAGTATAAACCAATTGCCAGAGGACTCTTAGTTGAGGAATTTCGGCCATAACAGTAAATGTCTAGATTTGTCGCTCTTCGGAGGGTTATGAGTCTCGCTTGATGGACCCGCGGAAACGATTGCTACTGGGCTATTAATTAACGGATTGGAGTTGAGTGTCGTGACCTGTTCGAAAGTGTTCGCTATTCTTCGCGCCCTTATTATCGCATTATGAATTGACTGCCGAATCTCTTCACCCTCGCTTATGTATGACTCCCAAGTTTCCTCAGACGTGAAATCTATCAACGCGGCTTGAATGTTCTCGAATTCTATTAAGGCTGACTCGATCTGTTCTATTCGAGATTTTAATATGTCTATTCCTTCACCATCAGGGTCGTTTATATCCGTTATAAATTTTTTGAATACCTTGAATTTGGTTTTTAATGGGGCACGTTTCCGTTTAAGCTGCGATTCAGTACATTCCTTTAGAGGTCGAGACATTTTCACGATAGAATGGCACGAATGAGGAGAGATAAGAGAAGAATTGCGACTTCAACAAATTGATGACTCGTTATAAGTATTGTGAGACTCACGTGATGGCTGGTGTTCTGTGGTGGTACAGTCTAACCGTGGAATGCTTGGTTTGATGCGTTGACTCCCTGCGTTGGCTGACTGCACGTATTCAGAACTGCTTGAAGTTCTTCACGCTCCGGTTTTCTCGAACATTCGTTGGTACGTGATTGAAGTCTTCCTTTCCTTGTCTCGTCCACTTGAAAGGAGCTGCTTTGCAATAGGTGCCGGCTAATGTAGTTGAGAAAGTTCCGGCTTGAAGGACCAAAACATGTTGCGTACTGGTGCTTTGATCAGTACTATGGTATTTATTTCATCGTGAGGAGGAGTTAAGGGAATGTGGATTGTGAATCAATTGTTGTTTTTTAACGTTTAATAATTTGGGGGGCGCTTCTGCGCCCCTGCTTGTATGGGTTGTTTTATTATTAATGCATGTATAACGCTAATGCGTATATACTGCTTCTGGAACTGCTGGAACTGATGATATGAGTATAACGCTGTTGCGTATACTGCTACCTGGACTGATGAAGGCGAGTATAACGCTGNGAGTATAACGCTGTTGCGTATACTGCTACCTGGACTGATGAAGGCGAGTATAACGCTGGCGCGTATATACCGCTACTGGAACTGATGAAGGCGAGTATAACGCTGACGCGTTTATATCGCTACTGGAACTGATGAAGGCGAGTATAATGCTGACGCGTATATACCGCCGCTGCTGCTGCTGCTGCGGGTATACCGACAATGCGTGTATACCGCTGCCGCTGCTTCTTCTTCTTCTTCTTCTTCTTCTTCTTCTTGTAGGCGATGTAATGTGGTTCGTGAGTTGTATCGAAGTGCGGGGCCTGGATTCGTGCGTCCCTTTATACCTATATATATAGAATTGGTTTTCGGACATCTCTTCCCCAGCTTGATTGACAAATAGGAGCAGAGTCTCCCCATTCCACCGGGTTTTCCCAATGAAAGGACTTGTGTTTTAGTAAGGACTATAGAAGTGCAAGAATAGGTAAAGCACCCACCACGCATCAATGCTTTGTCGAAACGACACTATTCACAGAACACTTCCACAAACACATTGCAACTCATGCCTTACGTTGCGTGCTACGCAACACCCCCTTTTGACAAATTAATTCAATATTTATTTTCTTTAAAGGGGGGGGGGAAGTAACGTTAGTATTAATTACATTTAAAGAAATCTAATCGGAAATGAAATTCTTTTAAATATTATATCATAATTCTCGATTTAATCTGAAATGCGTGTGGTTAAATAATTGCGACATGTAATTTCTAAAAATGTGGTAATTTTAAAAAATCCTATACAGGCGGCCCTCGAATTTTGCGCATTCTAATTTCACACAATTCGCTATTTAACATATTTTTAAATTCAACTGTTTAATCCTCTGCGATCGGATGTCCCCTCCCAGTGGATATCAGACTAGCCATTAGATGACAATGTTGTTCGGATAAAGAGAACAAAACAGTTTCTGCCTTGCATTAGGACGTGCGTCAACGTGTTGTGTATTTTGCTAATTTAGATAAATACTTTAAAACACAGTTTGTGGAGCATATTTTTTTACATCCCTGTACTTTCAAACATTCAACATTAATACACACTTTCAGGAATCAATTATGTGCGAAAGTCGAGAACCTACTGTACTTGGTACAAAAATACGATGAAAACGCATAAAATATACATTATTCGTTTATAAGTAAAAGAAAATATTTTGTTTGCTAAAATTAAGATATACGTTTCTTGTAAAAACGGTTATTTGACCGGTCATGGTAGAAAAATAGGTATTTATATATGACGTGTCAGTAAGTTCAGTGTTAAATTATGATATATTTAAACATGGATACAAATACATATATTATTTATTCTCCAACCAGATATATTACAATGTTAAATATTATGAAGGATATTTTTAAAAATCTTCCCATCTCTTTTAATCATTCCTTTAAATATTGTACAATGTAACATTTTAGACCAACGTTTAATTATTCTTTATTATCTAATCGTACTTATTATATAAGATATATATTTTTTTCTGGAAACCCTAACATGATTTACCCATTAAAATAATGCTAGAAGCCGTTTATTTCTCTATTGAACATTTTCTTTAAAAGCATTTTCTACATATAAGAATTTTCCTTGATATCGGTAGTATCAGAAAGAGAACACTTGGCCCCTTGCCGTTTATATCGTGCTTATATATCGAACTGCGACGAATTTATCTACCTAGCCACTTTTCCGTCTACGTTTTTCCGCGTCTCTCTTTTTCGCCGTCACATCGCGGAATACGGTAAAAATGGAACGTCGAAACTACAGTCGGCCACTGCGGAACAATTTTGTTCCTTTCACCGACGAGCCATCGATTTATCGGTAATATTGAACGAACCGGAAAGAAAGAGAAAGAGAAAGAAAAAGAGAAAGAGAAAGAGAAAGAGAGAGAGAGGGAAATACGAAAACAGTCGGTGTAATAACACTGCAAAAATCTAAACAGATGGATAATACGATAATGAATTAAACTTGAGCCAATATTCTTTTTTTTCTTTTTTGTTCTCTCTCTCTTTCTCCCATTACTATTTATTTTCTTTTTCGTTATTTTCCTTTCTACCATCTTTCCGTTTTTTATTCGTCCCTGTTGTGTTTATTGAAAAGCGTGAAACGCSGCAAGAGAAAGAAAGAAAACAACGACCGTAGAGGTTGGAATTTCACACATGTAGTTTGACGACTTTTATTCTACATCTAGTGGTATATTCGAGATCGTTTTGATTTTTATTAAAAAAATATATATATTTTCCTGTTTTCTTTTTTTCTTTCTTTTTTCCTTTTATTTTTTTAATCCATTTATACGCAACGACCATATGTTTAATGCAACAAAATCATTTATACGTCATTGATAAGATTTTATCATCATACGACTTACCTGTTTTTTCTTTAAAATGAGACGTTTTAGAATTGTCAAATTGACAAGCGTGTGAGAAGGTTTCGTTATAATAGTACGAGTGTTCTAAAATCGATTAACAAACATAATAAAGCATCGGTAAATAGAAATTCAAAGTTTAAACAATGTTTTTAGTTTTAACATGAAAGTATTTTATTCTGTTATACCTGTTCGATGTATTTTTTTTTTATTTCCGAGCAGAAGTTTGTAATTAAATTATTTAAGCCCTACCGCAATCTATTCTTTTTTTCTCTTTTTTTTTTTTTATCAACATTTTCTTCGTAACTTTGATCAATACAACGAGCATCCAAAGTTTGTAACATTCATTTTAAAACTTATTTTATCCTTTAAAAGAAAAAAGAGAGAGAGAGAGAAAGAGAAAGAGAAATATAAGAGTATAGTTGGATGTACATAGAAATGATACGTTATACCTTTTACTACCCTTCTCGTATTAATTTTTTTCTTTTCTTGCTACTTTCTCTAAATATGCATATTGCATCTCAATCTAGTAGTTGAAAGAGGAAAATACGAAGCATACAACGAACTGTATGCTTCCTAGCAGGATGTGATTTTCAGTGAATCCCGTTGCAAAACAAGTTTAATGGAAGTATGATGTTCTTATCTCGGTGGGCCGATACGCGTTACGATAAGAGAGTGAGCTTTTCTAACCAAAAACCTTTACTTCTATTTCCAAGTCTAAGCATTTTCAACGTTGTGGATTTTATGATGAAAGTAAATATTATATCACTTTCTAGCGTTGCCGTATTCATTTCTAGTCTAAAGATAGCTTACATCGTTAATAATATTCATTTAATAAACAGTTCTGAGAGAGAGAGAGAGAGAGAGATTAAATTTATCGAATTTTAATTTTATAATAGCAACATTGCATTGACATATTTCAATTTCGTTGTATCTTCAAATTCCTCCTTTTTTTGTTTTCTGTTATTTCAAAAAAGAAAATAAATAGAAAAGAAAAAAAATGATCTACGATATGAAAAAATACAAAAGACCTTGACATTTTTACTTGAACTTATTCGTCGCGTACTTTCGCATGACGATTCATAGCAAAGTTCGTAGCGCTTCCGACCTAGTAGCTTGTGCTTTAGTGTATGCGTTAGGATTGCAACGAATGAATAGTTTATCGTTTTACGTGTTGTACCGCGCGAGCTCGAACTATCAAGCAGAAAACATAAT